CGGCTCGGCCGCCAGCCCAGGTGCCGGCCCGGGCGTTCGGTTCGAGCGCCGGCCTGGGTGCCGGAATCGGCCCGGAAGGGTTCCAGGGCGCCGGGAGCAGAAAATCAATATCTTCGAAAGAAAAATATGTTTTGGAGTGGCCTTTTTTCCGCACCGCCTCGGAATTCAATTTTCCGGCGCCGGCCGGCGCCGGAACCGGCCCGGGCGCTGGCCCGGGTGCTGGCCCAGGCGTTCGGCTCGAGCGCCGGCCCGGGTGCCGGAAGCGGCCCGGAAGGGGTTTCCCGGGCGCCGGGAGGAGAAAATCAATATTTTCGAAAGAAAAATATGTCTTGGAGTGGCCTTTTTTCGGCACCGCCTCGGAATTCAATTTTCCGGCGCCGGCCGGCGCCGGAACCGGCCCGGGCGCTGGCCCGGGTGCTGGCCCGGGCGTTTGGCTCGAGCGCCGGCCCGGGTGTGGCTCGAGCGCCGGCCCGAGTGCCAGAAGCGGCCCGGAAGGGGTTCCCGGGCGCCGGGAGCAGAAAATCAATATTTTCGAAAGAAAAATATGTCTTGGAGTGGCATTTTTTCGGCACCGCCTCGGAATTCAATTTTCCGGCGCCGGCCGGCGCCGGAACCGGCCCGGGCGCTGGCCCGGGTGCTGGCCCAGGCGTTCGGCTCGAGCGCCGGCCAGGGTGCCGGAAGCGGCCCGGAAGGGGTTCCCGGGCGCCGGGAGCAGAAAATCAATATTTTCGAAAGAAAAATATGTCTTGGAGTGGCCTTTTTTCGGCACCGCCTCGGAATTCAATTTTCCGGCGCCGGCCGTGCTCCTGCGCGGTCTGCCGTGCTTCTGTGGCGTCTGCCGTGCTCCTGTGTGGTCTGCCGTGCTCCTGTGGTCTGCCGTGCTCATTTGGGGTTTCCCGCGAGCTTGTGGGGTCTGCCGTGCTCCTGTGGGGGAAACGCCAGCGGCGTTCGGGGTACAACAAAAGGCGCGTTTATGTTGTACCTGCGCGCGGTCTGCCGTGCTCCTGTGGGGATTGCCGGGCTCCTGTGTGGTCTGCCGTGCTCCTGTGTGGTTTGCCGTGCTCCTGTGGTCTGCCGTGCTCCTTTGTGGTTTGCCGTGCTCCTGTGGGGTCTGCCGTGCTCCTGTGGGGTCTGCCGTGCTCCTGTGAGGTCTGCGGTGCTCTTGTGTGGTCTGCAGTGCTTCTGTGGTCTGCTGTGCTCATTTGGGATCTGCCGTGCTCGTGTGGTGTCTGCCGTGCTCCTGCGGGATCTGCTGTGCTCCTTGTGTCGTCTCTTTGGTCTGCCGTGCTCGTATGGGGTCTGCCGTGCTCCTGTGTGGTCTGCCGTGCTCCTGTGTGGTCTGCCGTGCTCCTTTTTTTCCGCCTGCCGTGCTCCTGCTCATTTTCTGAGGACGTCCCTAGCGAAAACGTCATTTTTAACATAAGAGGTTGTAAAACACCTCTGTCGGCATCTCATTTTTTCGAGGATGTCTCGAGCGAAACGCTCATTTTTCATGCGCAGCAAAATTTTTTGACATTTTTGAACGCCCCGACTTTCTGAGGATGTCTCGAGCGAAACCGTCATTTTTAACATAAGACGTCTTAAACGATAGCCTCCAACACCTCGATTTTTCGAGGATGTCTCGAGCGAAATGGCCATTTTGGGAAACCTGACCGGACAAGAACGGGAAGCGCAGTTTTTTATCCACCACGTGCGTCAGAGACCGTATTGGCGAGAACGTCAGAGAACATCCCTGTTGCGTTTCCTGGCTTCGGCGCCGTCTGGGAGGTATCTTGGACGCTCTTGGGGCTGTCGTAGCCTCTGGCCTCTCGGGGGCCTCTTGGGGGAGTCCCGGGGGGGGCCTTCGGGGGCTCTATGGGGCGATATGAAGCTCTCAGGGAACTCCTGGAGCCTTTTCGCGCGTTCTGGGGACTTCTGGCCGCCTCTTTGGAGCCCCTGGGGGGCTTCTTGGGGGTCTCTTGGGGCGTTTTGGGCGCTCTGGCGGGCCTCTGGCCGCCCCTTGGGGGCCTCTTGGGGGTCTCTTGGGGCGCTCTGGGGTCCTCTGGGGGGCCTTCGGGGGCTTTCTTGGGCCGTTTGGAGGCCCTCCGGGAGCGATTCCAAGATAATGCTGCTTCGGAGTCCCCTCCGGAGCCGATTTTTTGAGGACGTCCCGAGCGAAACGGCCAAATTTCCGGAACACGGCAGACCACACAGGAGCACGGCAGACCACACAGGACACGGCAGACCCCACGGGAGCACGGCAGACCACACAGGAGCACGGCAAACCACACAAGAGCACGGCAGACCATACAGGAGCACGCCAGACCAGTTTGGGGAATCCGTTAACGAAAAATCCCGTGCAGCGCGGCAACCCATATAGTTAAAGAAAAGATATATTTACTCAAGGATTCAGCCAGAACGTCCCGCTTGCTTGTCGTACCTCGAAGACGCTTCCCGTCATCCGCCAACGAGTTTCAGGATGGAGCCCGTACCCCTTAGTTAGAGAACCGCCAACGAGTTTCGGGATGGAGCCCGTACCCCTTAGTTAGAGAATCTCTCTCCCTCTCTATCTCTCTATGTCTCTCTCTTTCTCTGGCTTTAAGCCCCCAAAGCTTCAGCTTCAGCACGGCAGACCAGAACAGCAGACCCGCACGGCAGACCAGCACAAAACACCGACACGGCAGACGAGCACGGCAGTCCGGCACGGCAGACCAGCACGGCAGACCAGCACGGCAGCCCATAGGAACATAGCAGACCAGATCATGTCATTGACGCTGCTGTTGTTGGTGATGATCATGTTGCTGCTGATGGTGATGGTGATGCGTACGATGATGATAATGATGATGATGATGAGGAGGAGGAGGATGATGATGATGAGTATGAGTATGAGTATGGTGACGATGATGGTGATGATGATGATGATGATGATGATGAGGATGATGATGATGATGATGGACTTCTCGGGGTGTGCTTGGGAGATGTTGGGGTCCTCTGGAGAGCCTTTGGACTAGCAGTTTAAATCTGCGTAGCCGTTGTAACCCGACTCTCGTTTTCTTCATCGGTCTGAACGGTTTATCAGCTTACACGGCACAGCGCAGCAACACGACAGACGGCAGCAGCACGGCAGACCAGGAAGGCAGACCACAGGAGCACGGCAGACCAGAACGGCAGACCGCAGGAGCACGGCAGAGCAGCACAGCTGACCACAGGAGAACGGCAGACCAGCACAGCGTTGTTGCAGCAGACGGTGCTGATACACTCTTAATTTATTGAACACGTCCCCAGCGAAATCGTCATGGTCGGCTGTATTGAGGGCACTCTGCGGGTCATCTTTGGGCCGATTTTGTTTTTGGGGGGCCGTACTGATGCCCTCAAAAACGATTCCAAGACGACGTTAGACTCATTGTTTGTTTGATGATTGTTCGGCCGTCTTGAGGGCACTCTTAGGGCATAGTCTGCCGTGCTCCTCGTCTTGGTCTGCCGTGTTCCTCGTCTTGGTCATCCTTTCCGTCGTCTTGAGGGCGCTCTTGGTGCCTGGTCTGCCGTGCTCCTCGTCTTGGTCTGCCGTGCTCCTCTCGGTTCCTAAGCCTGGTCTGCCGTGCTCCTCGTCTTGGTCTGCCGTGCTCCGCTCGGTTCCTACGCGCGGTCTGCCGTGCTCCTGTGGGGAGCACGGCAGACCACAGGAGCACGGCAGACCACACAGGAGCACGGCAGACCACACCTCGATTTTTTGAGGATGTCTCGAGCGAAATGGCCATTTTGGGGAATCCGCCAACGAAATATCCCCGTGCAGCGCGGCAACCCATAGATATAAAGATATATATATATATATTTACTCAAGGATTCAGCCAGAACGTCCCGCTTGCTTCTCGTACCTCGAAGACGCTTCCCGTCATCCGCCAACGAATCATCCCGTGCAGCGCGGCAACCCATAGATATAAAGATATATATAAAGATATATATATATATATATATATATATTTACTCAAGGATTCAGCCAGAACGTCCCGCTTGCTTCTCGTACCTCGAAGACGCTTCCCGTCATCCGCCAACGAAAAATCCCGTGCAGCGCGGCAACCCATATAGTTAAAGAAAAAGTATATTTACTCAAGGATTCAGCCAGAACGTCCCGCTTGCTTCTCGTACCTCGAAGACGCTTCCCGTCATCCGCCAGCGAGTTTCCCGGTGCGGCGCGCACCCCTTAGTTAGAGAAAATTGAGCCCCAGAACCAACGGTGCACGCCGGAGGCGCTTCCCGTCATCCGCCAGCGAGGTCCGGGATGGGATCGGTGGCCCTTAGTTAGAGAAAATGAAGCCCCAGAACCAACGGTGCACGCCGGAGGCGCTTCCCGTCATCCGCCAGCGCAGGTGAGGAATGCGGGAGTTGGCAATGTTTTGTGGCCCCACATGGCCCCGATTGGCCATGTCAACCGTACGACTCCTTGAAATCGCTCCGAACTTTTACGACGAATGTGCGCGGCGATGAAGCAAGAACCACATGTTGAAAACGAGCCGCCCTCCATGTTTGAAACCGTTGAAAGCTCTTAAACCGATTGTGCGCGGCGCAAAAGCAACAGCTACGTTTTGACGAGGAACCGCCCTCCGTCCTTGGAGCTGCTGCACACTGTAAAGACAAATCTGCGCGGCGCAGCAAGCGAAAACCACATGTTGAACACCACCCGCCCTCCATCTGTGAAGGTGTTGAAGCATTGAAGCTTCAGGATCATAAGTGGTGAGGAAGGCTCAGGCGACACGCCCAGCCCGCCCAACCAACACGTCTGGGGGCGCGACAGGCATGAATTGTTTTTAAGGGATAGGAATGGGGGAGGAGGAGGAGGGGAGGAGGAGGAGAAGGCGAAGGAGGAGGAGGAGGAGGATAATGAGGAGGAGGAGGAGGACGAGGAGGAGGACGAGGAGGAGGAGGAGGAGGAGGATAATGAGGAGGAGGATAATGAGGAGGAGGATAATGAGGAGGAGGAGGAGGAGGACGAGGAGGAGGAAGACCGCACCCCCCCTCCCCTCCCCAACAGGCGCCCGCCCCGCGGCGACAGGCCCTGGCCCGCGCTGGCCGCGGCCAGCATGTGGCCGCGCCCCTCCCCGCGCGGCGCCTCTTCTGCGCCCCCCGCGCGGCTCGAGCCCGCCGCGGGCGCGGGACTTCTCCCCACGCTTTTTCTTCAGACGATGCCAGGACGAGGATAACATCGGGTGGGGATAAATCGAGAACCTCTGAGATGCGGCGGCTCTGGAAGATTTCTCGGGCGCCGCGGCCGTCTCAGAGCGTCCTGGAACGCTCTGAGAGCGTTCCGGAACGGTCTGGCACGGATTTCTGCTCGTCCTAGCCCCGCCCGATTTCCCCCCTGACAGGGAAGCCCGCAGTAAGCAGTCAACGGAACAGGACGAGCAGGTCGGGAGTGGAGACGAGGGGGGGAGGTTTTGCTTCGTTTCCGGGCAAGAAGAAGAGCAACTTGTTTTACACTTCTGTCCTCGCTTCCCGCGCCTCCCCCCTCCCTGCAGCTGCCAAGTTTTGCCCGCGACCCTCGAGGGTCGACAACCCAGACTTGCTCGCGTGGTGAACAAAATCACGACGGGAAGCTCTTGCCCGTTCTCGGCCTCGGGGGGCCCTCGCCAAACCCCGGGGCCGCCAAGACACGACTCGGGATGGAACGCCGGTCCCGGGAGATGGGTCGGGACTTCCGAGGACCCCGTGCTGAAAAGAATCTCGGCGAAGGACCCAACCATGTGCAGTTGTGAGAACTGCAGTCGTGAGCATCGTCTTCGGTGGAGCTCTCTGTGAGTCCACTGGGGCCTGCGGTGGAGGTTCCTACGGGGCCACGAAACGTGTAAGGGGTGTGCCGAAATGGGTGGCGAACCGCATGTGGCCGCATGCAGTGGGGACTTCGGTGAAGCCCCCTTTATGGGACCACGAAGCGTGTGAGGGGTGTGCCGAAACAGGCGTGACGCAACTTGCGAGCGTCGCCACTGGGGCCTTCAATGGAGCTCCCTTCCTAAGGGGTCACCAAAAATGTGAGGGGTAAGCTGAATCGGGTGTGACGCCCACATGCGAGCGTCGCATCTGGGGCCTTGGGTTGAGCTCTCTATGGGGCCACGAAGCGTGTGTGGTGTTCCGAAACGAGTGTGGCGCCAACATGCAGACGTCGCCACTGGGGCTTTAGGTGGAGCTCCATTCCTATGGGGCCTCCACACATGTGAGGGGTGAGCCGAAGCGGGGGTGACGCCCACATGCGAGCGTCGCAACTGGGGCCTTGGGTTGAGCTCTCTATGGGGCCACGAAGCGTGTGTGGTGTTCCGAAACGAGTGTGGCGCCCACACGCGGACGTCGCCACTGGGGCCTTAGGTGGACCTCCCATGGGGCCACGAAGCGTGTGAGGGAAACGAGCGTGAGGCCCACATGCGAACGTCGCCTGTGGGGCCTTAGGTGGAGCTCCCTATGGGGCACGAAACGTGTGAGGCGTGTGCCAAAACGGGCGTGACGCTCACACGCGAACGTCGCCAAAGGTCTCTCAGGTGGAGCTTCCTGTGATAGGGGCTTCTAGCGCCCGAGACGCCGCCCCTCCGGCCGCGGCCCAGGGAGGCGCGCGCGGCGGCGCCCTCCCCGCCCCCACCGCCTCCGCCGGCCGCGGCAAGGGAGGGCCCCGTGGAGCCGGGGGAGAGGGGCGAGGAATACAGCAGCTACGAGTAGAGCGAGGAGGAGGAGGAGGAGGAGGAGGAGGAGGAGGAGGAGGAGGAGGAGGAGGAGGAGGAGGAGGGGGAGGAGGATGAGGAGGAGGAAGAGGAGGAGAGGGAAGGAGGATGGAGGAGGAGGAGGAGGATGAGAGGCGGAGGAGGAGGAGGAGGAGGAGGAAGGAGGAGGAGGAGGAGGAGGAGGAGGCGGCGGCTGGCGCTCCGGCTCTCCCAGCGCCGAAGGGAGTGCGCGGCGATGCGGCTCGGGCGGCCGCGGCCCCCGCAGGCGGCGGTGCAGGCGAGACCGCCGGGAGCGGCCGCAAGCGCGCAGAGCTGGTACGTAGCGGCAGCTCTGCGGGTCGCAGGCCTGAGGGGCTACCGGGCCGTGGTGGTCCCAGAAGGAGTCCTCCTCAGGTGTTGGCGCGGCGGCTCCCGGGGAGCCCCCGCCGCGCGCGGGAGGGAGCTGCCGGCGCCGAGAGGCTTCGCGGCCGCTGCGGTAGCGACACCTCCCCGCCAGGTGTTGCCGCGCTCCCCGCCGTGCATGGCGCAGGGGGCCCCAGGGGCAGACGGCGCCTTCGGCAGCGGAAGCTCTCGGAATTTGGCTTCGAGCGCAGGCGGAGGCCGTGCTCGCCGAGGGCACGCGCCCGACCGCGACCAGCGGAAATCGAGGGGAGCGCCCCTCCGATGGGGTGGCGACAACTCACCCTCCTTGACTGCCTCGCCGCGGCTTTCCCTGCCAGCGGCGCTTTTCCTGCCAGCGGCGACGGCGCTACTGGCGGCGCGGCGGCCAGGCCTCCTGGGGAGTCGCCGGTAGTGGAGTGCACGACGGTCGAGGTGGCGCCTCCCGTCTCCGAGGTGAGGGCTTCGGAGTTTGCACTGGCGCGGCGTTTCCTCCAGCAATGGGGCGAGTGGATTCCTGCCGCCGCGAGGCCGGCTCTGGCAGATCCGCCCCGGAGGCGGATCCACTGGCCGAGGCCAGCGGCGCACCGGAAGCCTCCAAGACGGCCCAACACGACCCAAGAAGCCTCCAAGAGGCCCTCCAGAAGGGTCCGAAGAGGCCAAAATCATTGATTTTGCAGACGTCCGAGCAACATGCGATAGATTGCGAAGCAGGTTGTCCGCAGCCATTCGCTTGTCAAAACACCAAGGCCAGGAACCATAGCATGGTAGCGCGGAGCGTGGTTCCCGAGCCATGGATGAGGCCCTCGGGGCCCCAGAGGCCAGACTGGTCGCCGCAGAGCAGCAGACAGTGGAGAGGCAGCGCCAAGAGGGAGCGCTGCAGAACCAGCTGGCTGAGGCCAGAACGGTGATCGACAGGCTCTCGGCTCAGGCGACGGCGGTCCCACCAGATCCCCCAGGACCACCAGCGGCGGCGACTACGACGGGCCAGAACGGCAGCGCCCTGGTGGAGACGAGAGCCCTCGGCAAGCCGCTGCCGTTCGCAGGGGGCGCGACGACCGAGGGCAAACCAGACGGCGGATTCGCTCGGCAGCAGTGGTCTTTCACGTTCAGAGCCTATGCTTCAGGAGGAAAAGAAACACACAGACACAATTAATCCTCGATTTCCCAGGAAATATGGGAAAACATGGGAAGTGGGCGGGAAGACAGAAACCCAGAAAATATAGGAAGATATGGGGGCTTATTTTATTTGTGTGTATTTATTTGTGTGTCCTTGGGCCCCTTCAATGCTGGAGCATTCGACGCATCGTGCAGGGAGGCGCTGGACTGTTCGGCAAGAAGAACAGACGAGGAGCAGCCCATCAGCAACATCTCGATGGAGCCTCATGGGAGGAGGCTCTCGGCACAGATCTTCTACGTGCTGGCGCTCACCTGCCGAGGGCGAGCGCTGTCAGTGGTGCAGCGTGCACCTGAGGGCTGGGGCATCGAGGCTTGGAGGCAGCTATGCATCGAGTTCGAGCCGAAGCTCCCGAGTCGCTTCCAGGGCATGCTGCAGCAGCTACTGGACCCTGTACGTGGCCCAGACGCCGTCGAGAACATCTATGCGTGGGAGCGGAAGCTGAAGCAGTACGAGGAGCAGTCGGGTGACACCATGGCCGACACGATCAAGCTAGCGACGCTCAACAGCAAGCTCCTGGAGGGCAACCTGAGGACCCACCTCAACCTGCAGGCGGGACGCCTGCAGACGTATGAAGCGGCCAGGAACGAGGCGATCTCGTACCTGCGCGCGACCGCCAGCCAGGAGCAGGAGCCTGTGCCCATGGACCTGAGCCCAGTGACGGGAGAGCTGTACCCTATGACGATGGGCGGCAAAGGCAAGGGCAAGGGCAAGGGCAAGTCAAGCAAGGGAAAGGACCACGACGGCAAGGGTAAGAACAAGAGGGTCTGCTTCTACTGCGCCAAGCCGAACCACGCGAAGCAAGAGTGCAGGGTGTTCGCGCCGGACCGCACGAACAAGGACATCAAGCCCGACAAGGCAGGGCGATACATGGGGAAGCCAGTCGACAAGGTCACTGGCAATCGTGCGGACGCCGAGAAGGGAGACATGGCAGCGCTGACGGCGCTGCCAGATGACGACGACTACGATGAGGCAGACGGGTTCGTCTTCGCCCTGACCGACGAGGTGATCGTGATGGGGGACAGCTGTGCGCTCGAGGGTGACGAGTTCGACCTCCTCTTCGACACGCGCGCGGCGAAGAGCGTCTGTCCACCGACATGGGCCCCAGAGGTCGCTGTCGAGGAGTGCCGTGGCACGGCGCTCTACCAGGCGGACGGCAACGAGATCGCACACTACGGCAGGAAGGAGGTGAGCATGGTGGACCAGAGCTCGGGCGAGCAGTTGACGGTGAACTTCGAGGCGAAATGAGTGCGGAAGCCGATCATGGCGGCGAGCTCGGCAGTCGACGCGGGCTACGGAACGTGGCTGTGCGATGGAGGGAGCTACATAGTGAAGCCCAAGCATGCGAAGGAGTTGGCAACGGTCGTGAGAGACAGCGTCGGCAAGAACAGGTCCATCGAGTTAAGGCGGAAGACCGGCATCTTCGTCATCCCAGCTCGGCGGTGCTCGAGCAGCGGCGAGCTGTGCGCGGCGACGGAGAAGGACGAGGAGCCGGACGACCTCGAGGAGAGCGAGGACGCCAGGCCCGCGCTCACCAAAGCGCTTGCGCCTTGGCCGAGCGCGGAGGAGAAGGCTGGGCACGAGCTGACCCACTGCCCGCACCGCGCCTGGTGCAGGTACTGCTTGACGGGCCAGGCGACCGAGGACCCCCACAGAAGCCAGTCCAAGGAGTCGACGGCGGCGAAGCTCGCGCTGGACTACTGCTTCCTGGCGCGCGAAGGGGAGCTGCGGAAGGCCACGGTCCTGGTCTTCGTGCTGGGGCCCCCTGGCGCCGTGGGAGCGACGCAGGTGGCAAAGAAGGGGGCGATGACGTTGCAGTCGAGTTCGTGCTCTTCTACCTCGAGGCGTGCGGTGCTGGTGAGGGCGTGCTGAGGGCAGACCAGGGGCCAGCCATCCAGGCGCTGCTTGTGGAGCTACGCCGCCGGCGCAGAGTCGAGCACCACCGCACTACGATCGAGAAGTCCACGAAGCACGACAGCAAGGCGAACGGCGGCATCGAGGTGGTGGTGCGCAGGGTGGAGTCGCTCACTCGCACCTGCGTTGCCGTCATCGAGGACAAGTACAAGACCAAGGTGACGAGCCAGTCGGTGAGCCTCCCGTGGCTGGTCAGACACTCGGCGTACATCATCACCAGGTTCGTTCTGAAGAGTGAGTGTCGGAGTGCCTGGGCGACGATACGAGGTAAGGAGTTCACATCGCGTCTCGCGGGTGTGGGCGAGACGGTGGACTTCAAGCTGATTCGCAAGGACCAGTCGAAGCTTGACCCACGCTGGGCCTCGGGAGTGTTCCTCGGGCGGAGGGGCGAGAGCGAGGAGGTTGTCATGGGCACAGCACGAGGGAAAGAGTTCACCAGGTCATTCAAGAGACGTGCCGAGAGCGAGCGCTGGATCCAGGAGGAGTTCAGGACATTCATCGGCGTGCCCTGGAACCCTAGGGCCCCGACGACGGAGGCCCCAGTGGTGAGCGCGAGGCGGAGGTGCATCACTCGCGCCCTGACCCAGGAGCACGGTGAGAGTCCCGTGTACGGCCTGCCTGGGGCTGTCCAGCGTGCACGCGATCGCGTGCAGGGCTCGCTTCGAGGAGATCTTCAGGAAGCAGGCCGAGCAGCTGGTCCAGGCGCAGCGGGCGAGCGGCGCAGGCAGCGCCGAGGCCCCGACTCCAGGACCTCCAGGAGGAGACCCAGGACCCCAGAGCCAGCCAGGACACCCACAGGCCATCGGCGGACCTCCAGGGCTGGAGTTGCCTGCGGCCAGTGGTCCGAAACGCGAAGGTGATGCGGTCCACGACGGAGAGCCAGCGAGGAAGAGACCAGTCATCGACGTGGCCCGCGCTGCGCCCATGGACACCGACCCAGAGGCCGAGGCCATGACCCTCGGCGCGCTCTGCGAAGAGGAGGTCCCCGTCCCCACCTTCGACGAGAAGCTTTTTGCGGGTAGCTTCCACGACCAGTACACTGGGGAGTTCCTCCCGAAGGAGCTGGTGCTGGAGGGTGTGAAGCGCGAGCTCGACGAGATGGAGGAGTTCGAGGTGATGGTCTGGAAGAAGCGCAGCGAGAAGCCACCTGGCGAGAGAGTGATCTCCACCAAGCTCTTCCACACGCGGAAGGGGCCAGACTGCGTGCGATCACGGGTGGTCGCGCGGGACTTCGCAGGAGGCGTTTTCGTGACGTGGGCGCTGAAGCTGGTGATCTCGAGGCTGGCATCGCGTCGGGAGTCAAGGCAGCTTGCGTCGCACGACATCTCGGTGGCATTCTTCCATGCGCAGCTGAAGGAGGCAATCTGGGCCGAGCCGCCGAAGGAACTGAATTGTCCAGACTGGCTCTGGCTCGTGAGCAAGGCACTGTACGGGATGAGGGAGTCGAGTGCTGACTTCCAGAAGCTGGTGCGGGACGCGTGCCGAGAGCACGGCTGGAACATCCTGTCGACGGTGCCCTGCTTGGCGTATCACAGCGAGTGTGACTGCCTGTCGGGGTTCCACGGCGACGACTTCTACACCGGGGGCGAGCCGCAGCAGCTGGACAAGGTCGACGCCATGATCACGGGGAGCTTCAAGGCCAAGATCCTCCCAAGGGTTGGGCCAGCAGCTGAGGACAAGGGTCTGGTCCTACGACGACTTCTACTGTGGAGCCCGAGCGGGTTCATGCTGCTGCTTGACCCGAAGCACTTCGAGAACCTGAGCACGCTGCTGGACCTGAAGGGCGCGAAGCCGTCCCCGACGCCTGCCAGCCGAGCGACAGGCAAGAACGCACGAGACGCACTCGAGGAGCTGAAGCGGGCCGCGAAGCCGATCTACTGCAGGGGGACGGGCATATGCATGTACATCGGCCCAGACCGTTTCGACATCCAGTTCGCAGTGCAGCTGTTGGCATCGGATATGGCACATCCGACGCGTTTGAGCATGATGAGGTTGCGGAGGCTGGCGCGCTCCCTGGCTGGGACGCACGACGTTGGCATCGAGTTCCTCTGCCAGGCGTCCTGGAACGACATCGTGGTGCACTCCGGCGGCGACTGGAGTGGCGACGTCCAGACGTGCAAGAGCACGCCGGCAGGTGCGATCCTGGTCGGAAGCCCCAGCGCTGGCCACCTCGTCGAGAGCTGGAGTGTCACGCGGGGTGCCGTCGCGCTCAGCAGCGCGGAGTCGGAGTTCCATGCGGTCGGCTCGGCGGCGGCTCGGGGGATCGCAGTCAGACAGGTGATGGTCGAGATCGCTGAGCTGGGAGCGGGCCTTCCAGCGGGCGTGGAGCTGATCATCCGCTCGGACTCGGACGCGGCCCGCGGCATGATCCACCGCGTGGGCTGCGGGCGCGTGCGAGACCTACAGACACGCTATCTCTGTCATCAGCAGGCGCTGAGAGAGAAGCAGTTCGAGATCGAGCGAGTTGATGGCAAGAAGAACCCGAGTGATGCAGGGACGAAAGCGCTCGACCAGGAGGCGCTGCAGGCCTGCATGGTGAGCCTTGGGATTGTGAGCAGGACTGTGGCAGGCTTCGGCACGGACGAGGCCGCCCAGGTCCTAGCGGCGTTGCTGCTGCTGTGTGCGACGGCGCGGACCGCACACGGAGCAGACGCGAACACCTGCGTGGCGGGTGCGAGCCAGACGGAGACCTACGGCGTGATGATCAAAGTGTTTGTAGCGATCGTCCTGAGCGCTGTGGGCTTCGTGACGGGTGTGCTCTACGAGAAGCACATGAAAACGAGGGAGCGCAGTCAGGCGCGCCCCGCTTCAGCCCGCCTGCTTTTGGACTCAGGTGTACAGGCTGAGCCAACCCCCACCCGCTGCGAGGAGAAAGGAAACCAGGCTCCTTGCATGTACGCCAGGAATCGTGCCCAGCCCCGTTTCGTTCCTTTGCCCTGACACTCGTGGGTTAAGTAGGTAGCCTCCCGCACATAGAGTTGAGTGAGAGGAGTTGGCGTGAGGCTGTTGGCCACAACCCACTATATGAGATAGCTGCAAGCAGCCAGAGACACATAGACCGGTATCAAAGTGGGTCGGACTGATCACCCGACGATGCCCTGGGGCCCCTCCTGTTTTTAGGGAGCAAGTTGCTGATGACAGCTTGCACCCTCGGGGTGCCGCGCTGAGGAGGCGTGCAGACATCCGAGCAACATGCGATAGATTGCGAAGCATGTTGTCCGCAGCCATTGGCTTGTCAACGCACCCAGGCCAGGAACCAATAGCAGATTTTCCTTACGTCTTTGAAAGATTTTGGCATGTGCTTCTTCTCGGCTTTCCGATGGCTCAAGACGGCCCAAGAAGCCCCCAAGATCGCCCAAGAGGCCTCCAACACGCCCAAGATGGCCTCCGAGACGGCCCCGAAGCGCCCCAAGAGGGCCCCAAGTCGGTTCAGAGAGGCCCCCAAGACGGCCCCCGACGGCGTCAGACGGGCCAGGAGCCCACCAAGATGGCCGAAGTTGGCTCGAAGCTGGCCCAAGACGGCCCAAGAGGCCTCCAAGAGGGCCTCCAGAAGGCCAGAACAAAAGGCCCAACACACTGATTCTCCTTGGTTTAAGGATTTTGACATTTGCTTCGTTTCGGCCTTCCGACGGCCCGAGACGGCCCAAGAGCCCTCAAAGATCGCCCAAAGATCGCCCAAGATGCCTCCAAGATGGCCCCAGAACGGCCCAAGAGGCCCCCAAAACGGCCCCAAGATGCCCCCAAGACGGCCCAGGAGGCTTTTAAGATGCCCAAGATGGCCTCCAAGACTGCCTTGGAGCATTCCAAGCAGAGAGGCCTCCCAAACGGCTTCCGACGGCGTCGGACGGGCCAGGGTGGCCCAAGACGGCCCAAGAGGCCTCCAAGAGGGCCTCCAGGAAGGCCCGAAAAATGCCGAATCATAGATTTCCCATGAGTTTTTGAATGATTGTGGCATTTGCTTTTTTTCGGCCTCAAGTGCCTTGAAAGATCGCCCAAGAGGCCCAAGACAGCCCCAAGAGGCCACCAAGACGGTTTAAGAGGCCTCCAATACGCTCAAGATGGCCTCCACGACAGCCCAAGAGCCATCCAAGACGTAGTCCAAGAAGGCCCGAAAAGTGTCAAAATGGCCTCCAGACGGCCAAGATGACCTTCAAAATGCCCACGTGTTCCCCGAAGGCTTTCCACATCGATTCGGGGAACACATGGTCCGATAGCTTGGCAGGTCTGGCCTCAACATTCGGCCACATAGGCGCTTCCAAAAAGACAGGGGGCGGCGGTGATTCGCCGCAGGCGTCTTCGATTACCCACGGCCAGAAACTTGAGCCTATGCAACAGCTGCGCGGCTGAACAGCTGCTCCTCTTGAAACATAAACGCCACATGTCAAGACCACAAGCTTGAACAGATTGTGCATCTGCACCGATGGAGGGCGGCTCCTTTTCAAAATGGGACTTTCGCTTGAGACGTCCTCGACGCTCATGGCCAGAAGTGGCAACACAGACAATACTTACACAAGTGGGGCTTTCCTTTTCAAAGCAAAATAAAAAGAGAAAGAAAAAAATATAAAGGGGGACAAAACTAAAAACAAGTGGACATATATTTTCAAATGATGATCTCTCTGGGCGCCTCTTTCAGCTGCATGCTGTATGCTCATACCGTGAATCATACCTGCGCGCATTCCTTATTGCTTGCTGGGTGATGTGAATCAGTCAGCTCCTCTTCAGAGCGGGGCTCCCGCCTGAATGGCAGGCGCGAAGAGTGCTGATCTTTCAAGAAGCGCCTCTTGCAGTGGAAAGGAAGAAGGAGGCCTGTAGTTACCTCAGTACGAGGAAGTGACTTGGGACGGGAAAGTGTGTAGCAAAATCGTTGATGCATATCGGGTTTACGCTGGTCCTCCTCCTCCTTCTCCTCCTCCTCTGTTTCCTCCTCCTCCTCCTCCGTCTCCTCCGTCTCCTCCTCCTCCTCCTCCTCCTCCTCCTCCTGGAACGAGGCGGCTCTAAGCATCGCGTGCTAGAGGGAGCGCCAAGAGGTGGGACTGCCCGCCTGGGAGGCCTGCACTGAAGGCCCGAGAAGGCTAAGCCAGCGAGCTCACCCCTGGGTTAGGCAAGTCCCAGGCGGGCCGAGCATCCGTGTCAAGGTGCGCCCAGGTGCATCAGCAGAGCGAGAGAAGACATCATCAACATCATCATCAACATCATCATCAGACACCATCATCATCATCATCATCATCGACATCATCGACATCATTGACTGCCCACCTGGGAGGCCTGAACCGAATCGGATCGCGACATCGGATCGGAGCGGCAACGCATCGGACCGATCCTGACCGTCGCCGAATCGGGTCGCGTGAGATGGCTGTTCGGACTCGCCCCCTGCAGGACGGAGGGGCTCTCGGTTCCCGCGGGGTCGGGCCGCATCGGATTCGAGATCGACGCACGAGGATCGCATCGGACTGTTGGCGCGTTGGCGGCCCTGCCTGGTCCCGTGAGCCGCAAACTGGTCGAACTGTGAGCGCACCGACCGTCGGACCGACCGTAGCCCTCCGTGGCCGCTTTTCGGCGGCGAGCCTCGGGGGGAAGCGAGAAGGGGCGTGCCTTCTCAGAATGCCCAGAAGTTCCCCGGGCCTTCTGAGAAGCTTTCCAAGCCGTCCCCGAAGGCACAGAAAACTTCTCAGGAGGCGCGAGGGCTTCTGAGAAGTCCCACCGCCTTCTGAGAATGCCGTCTCCTTCTCACTCCCCCCCCCTCGCTCGCTGCCAATTTCCCCTCTCCCCGCCTCCGTGGTGCCATCTCGCCGTCTCGCACCCCGGCCTGAGCGACCACGAGCTGAGCGACCGCCCGCGGCGCGACCCCCCCCCCAAAAGGGCGTGCCGATGTGGCCAGATCGGATCCCGATCGGGGCAGGGGGGGAGCCACCCCTGCGGATGCGCAGTGCACCCGTCCCGCCTGAGGGCGGGCACCAAGGTGCGAGGAAAGCACTACCAGGACCGCGCGTTTTGCATCATTATCCTTTTTTTTCTTCTCTCTCTCTCTCTCTCTCTCTTGGTAAGCCATCAAATGAAAACCTTGCCCTCAATCTCCAGCATGCTCGAGAGGACGGACGTGCTGTCATGATGCGGTTGGCTCAAGATGCGTTCCAGGAGATCCAGACATAATTCCTGCAGCCCGTGTGGAACACTCGGCAACCTCGAAACTTATGAAACTGCGGGGGATTTTGGGACGTGTCATTATCATGACCTCTTGCTCCTCTAACTCGTGCCTCCTCTTCACTCGGGCGGGTGGCAATGGGGGGTGACCCACATGGGGGGTGAAGAAAAGGGCCCCCAAAGGGCCCTTCTAGGCCCCTCTGGGGCCCTTTCTTCACCCCCCGTTTGGGTCACCTCCCATTGCCGCCCGCCCGATTCACACGCTCTTCTGCTCGCTCTGGCACGCTCCTCGCTTCGGGCTGCATGGGGAGAACCCCAGCTGCGGCGCTCCTCAAGGGCACGGCCGCCATGCGCCCTCCTGCACGTTTTGGTGCACCCGTTGCATGTTCTGCACTCCTCAGGCGCTCCAGCCACAAATCCTACGGTCGGGAATTTTTGCTCAGCGCGCCGCTGCGGCCCCTCAAGGCGCTCCAGCTGCAAACCCTACGGTGGGGAACTTGTGCTTAGCGCGTCGTTGCGGCGGCCCTGGCGACACGCTATCTCTTGCAAAATGATAGCGTGTCGCTCCGCTCCGCGGGGAGGGAGGCTTCGAAGGCTCGGGACGCTGACGCTCGGGGATTGGCACGTGGTTCGCGTGTGGCGCCGAAGCGTGGTGGGCCAGAAACGGCGGAGCGACACGCTAAGCCAAACTGAACGACCGTACTCGGCTGTGGACAAACCTCCCTTTAGTAAACCTCCATTCAGTGAAAACGGCCTAGGACCGAAACCGACGGACCTGGACCCGCAAAAATGACGGCCGCGACGCCCTCTCGCAAACCGAAAACGGCCAATTCACTTATCGACGTGTCAGTATAGGAGGTCTTTCAACCTCCGACGTATGTCCGCACGCGCCCTGGCTGGGCGTCCGAGGGTTCTGTGCCAACACGCGGTCGCTGTGCTGGCATGGAGCCCTCCGCCGGCCTCCCGTGGCCCTCTGCGCCTTCCTGGGGCTCCTCGGGGGGTGAGCGCGAGAGGTAGGAGGGCAAGGACCGAGAGCAGGGAGGTCAGGGTACCTCCATCGGCAGAGAGAATCACGCTGCAAGAGGTGGTCGTCGTGATCGTCGCCTGAATCGTGGTATCTATAGCCGCTGTCACTGCACATGCTGCCCTCATCGCTGCCAGTGTTGCTCGTCCTGCGGGCGGAATTGTTCGAAGGCCTCACTCACTGGCAGCGGGCCGTCGCAGTGGGCGTGGCCCGCGCTCAGCGGCCAGCGGCGACGACCTGGAACGATGCCACGGCAGGTATGATGCGATTTTGCGAGGTCTTCCAGTCACCCTCGCGGCAAGTCCCGATGAATGCAAAAAGGTCGCCGCCGAGCACCACGGCAGATGCCAACCAGTGCGCGTCCACTTCCAGTCCGTTCGTGCCGACCTTGGTGTAGCGCCCGCCGATGGTGCGGTACTTCAGGCCCCCGGCGCCATCAACCAGCGTTGCCTTGCCCGCCTGCCTAGGGTTCACCGGGGTGCCCGCCTCTCCCAGCTGGCCATCCTTGCGATAAAAGATCGCGTCGATGAGCATCTTGCCGCTCAACTCTTCAACGCTGCCAACCCCGATCCTTGGCACGACCTCCAGGAAAGCCACCTCGCCGGGATACGTGTTGCTCCTCCTCGGGTTGAACGCCGCCCGGAAGCCCGCGTCGCGCTGCTCCACGGGCCAAGGAGTTCCAAAGCTGGCCTTCACGCGCTCGCCCCCCGCTGTATGTAGAAGAAAGAACAGCGGCATGAGCACAAAACTTCGGAGCGTTGCGCGGACTTCTTGG